TATATAATATTATATATATATATATATATTACATTGATTGTATAATACATATAATAAGACAAAGTAAATATGATAAATCTTTATGCTTTAATTAATTATATAATTAATTATATAATTAATTATATAATATTTAATATTTGTTAAATTAATTATATTTTATTATGCAGCAACATTTAAATTTGCGTTTTATTTTATAAACTTTAAAATTAATATTTATTAAGATGATGTTACAACTTTCCCTAGCCCTGCTTCATTTTACCCCAAATCGGGGCAAGATGTACCAGTTTAGACTTCTTTATTTTTTTTACATTTATTTACATGAACATCTTAAAATTACACCTTTTTGTCAATAGTAGTATAAAGCTGAAGAGTTGTTGCATCATGTGCATTAAAAGAAATAAACGTATACATGATAAATAAAGAAATATATGTATTTTTCTAAACATTGTTTCAACTGGCCCCAGTCTCCCCTATATAATACAAATATCAAAATCTATATTTTATAGAAATTTTTCTTTAAATTGTACATACAGAAGCGTAACATCAATTTGATACATAAAGTTAATATCTGAACAAGTTAATTAACATTTAAACAAAATGTATTTAATGATAGTTTCGAAGTATACTATATATAGTATCGCGAAAATACTTCATAATTCACGATATTATGAATCTAACAATAAGTGCATATACAAATGCATGAACAACGGCATCACACAGCGATACAATAGGCGATATACGTATGATAGTTATTAATCGCAATTAAATTTCCTATATCATGCTATATCGAAAGCGGCTCACCTCCTTGGTGTCTTCTCTTTTTACCGTAACATTATCCGGTCCATCCTGGATCATCTGTTTTGACGGTGCTGATAGTGATTTCCTTACCTAAAGTAGTGTGACAAATGAGAGTGCGAAAGAGAATTTCACATTTGTTCACTCTTTTATCATTGAATGTCGCTACGCTACCGTCTGCTGTACATACAACTATAAGGCGCCTTTGTATAAAGAAGACGTTTATAAGCATTTATGTGCGTGTTTGTATACGGGTGTGTATATTTTATTGCGACGACATAAAGCATTCCATGCCACTAGTGGGTTAGTTAACGAAGGAAGATATACCTGAATAATAAATTCAACGTCGTTTTCCGAAGTGCCACTGTTAATGTTGCTTATCACATTTTTTATTTGAAGCTTCGCCGGTTTTCTAACATCTGCATCGACATGTAGATTCATGCAACCGTTAAATAGTGTGATTTTAGAAAAAAAGAAAATCTGACATTAGTTACTAATTCCAATATTATTATAATTTGACATTTAACGTCTCAGTATTTCGCTTTTATTACTTTCTAATTTAGGAGCGTCTTCTGGATTCTTATCTATAATGGAGAGATCCATCAGCGATGTCCATCCAGCCGATGCCGGCAATTGTGAATGATTATTTTTGGTTTCGTCTTTTGCCAAATTTGTAGCGGAAGACCATATCCTATTGTTCTCAGATCCGCTTTAAAATTCATTCACAACAACGATCAATTTTTCTATAATATTCACAGTTCCCCACAAAAATCAATGTATCACTATTGCGATATTATTTTGCAGATATTTTGTTATAACTTATGGTAAAAGCGCATTATAATAATTAACATTTTATGCAATTTATAATTAATAGGCGAAAGGACCTACTGTGCAGAGTCTGTAGAAAGACTAGGAGACGAAGACGTGATATCTCCGAGACTGTTTCTTCTACCGCCATGCTCTTTATAATCCCTAAAGAGATATTATTAATTCGAAATGCGCATTTTATATTATCTCTTAGCTTCTGCTTTAAACAATTACCTAAAACATCGTTTGCAACGCGTTGGCCACCGAACCTGTGGATGGAAACCCAAAGGACAAAGAGGATCGCCTTTTTTAAATGAATACATGGAGTGCATCCTGTGTGCAAGTCATTTTTTTCTAATTATATTTTCTTATTGTATCTCGAAATAAAACAAATTTATTCATAGATATTTCCGAAGGAAATAGAAAAGAAACATGCAAAATGTAATTTAAAAAGAATAGATAGATCCAATTGTTCATCTAACAGAAATAACATTTACATTGATTTTTAAAGTTTTCAAAACAGCTAACATAAATATTGTCATTTAAAAATATTAACGATAATATATATAATATCTCGAATTCTAAATATCATATATTTGTTGATATTATTTTAAATTATTAATTTAAAAAGACTTTTATGTAAAAAGAGGCATTAAAAAATTTACATAAAAATTACATCGCTGATATGCTTTGTATAATGACTTTCTTTTCTCATAAGTGTGAAAGAAAAAGAAAAGAGAGTAGATAATTTAACGGGAAAATTTAAAATCAATTAGTGCAAGTACTCTTGTCAGAAAAAAGAATAAACTTGCATCTCATTAAATTCGCTGTTAAAAAATTGTTGGCCAATTTTTATAATTGCAAATCTTATCTATTAATTTATTATTATCTGTAAATTTAAAGGAGCTTGCAAAAAAACTGCATGTAAAATCACTTAATTTTAAGTAATCTTAATAGGTAAATTAACTTGTCAATTAATATAAAAAAGAATTCTTAATTGCGGTGGCAAAAATTATAATCGATAAAATATATTTCAGTACGTCTTTACTTATGCAGTCAATAATAATGTACGCAATAGTAAAGTCACTGTTGCATGAGCACAAATTTAAATGCTCATTTAACAAATTGCCTGATCGCGAAATCTGTGAACATTTTAATAATAATACACGTAATGCCAAAAATAGGAAAAAAGAACAATAAAATTTGTTTAGAAAGTTGATTTCTATCAGTGAATTTGTCACCAGTGAACATTCACGACCTGTATTGTCGTCTTCATACATATTTCTGACAATACATACAGGCACACACATATTACGCACACATGCGTAAACATGGCACTTGGAGAACTATGCGCACCGGCGCGACGCAGTGATTTATTTATAAAATTTCAATGCCACGCTGTCTCTTTCCCTTTTTTTTCACTCAACTTTTATCTACATAAAACGAGGACCAAAAGGGACCGGAAGAAACGTGGGGGATAAATTTATACGTGTTAAAACAGTTTATCTCCATTTGATCGCGTGCCTATCTATCTCTCGACGATCTATTATACAATCTGTCGCGTCGGTTTTTATATATGATGCCTGCTGTTACTCACTCAATCGGCACCGATATCAATCCAAATGTGACGGGCCGACAGATGAATTAAATTTATCCTAGACTGTTGTCGGTCGGTCGGTCGGTCGATCGGTCGGTCGTCACTCGGTCAGAAACGGGCGTTCGTCGTCGCGGCGTTCGTCGTCTCTTCCATTCTGAATGGATACGGTAATAGCATCGTAATCGTGTAATCGGACAGCACTCGCATCGTAAAGAGGGTAGTTTCTCGCGATCTAGTCTTTCCCCGAAAGTCGGTTCGTCTTTATAGTATCGATCCACGAATCTCGTTCATTTTTTCTATTTTTTCTTCTCTTTTTTTACACGCGTCCACGTTCAAGATTCCTATACACTGCGCGCAACGTCACTAATAGCACTGACACAGCTCCGCTATTACGGGGTTTGTCCGTTTTTCCCGTAGACTGTGTGCGGGTATACGGGCGATTGGACCTACGCCAGGTGTATATTTGTCTCTAGCTATAAATATATAGCAAAGGACGAAGACATCTTGAATGCGCGTTGTATGCGTGCTTGCACGCGTGTGGCGAATCTTCGTCTTCATTCATTTTTTGCCTCAATTGCATGAGCGGAAGTAAAATACATGCAATTAAGCTTACAAAAATTACGATGTCCATGAGATATTTTTCATTTTAATATCACCAAATGTCACAGTGGATAATTCCCTCAAAGTATTGCATTTTAAACATCTTCAGGAATGCACAGTGACAGATTTCTATTATATTTATGCATTTTTTATTTTGTGGATGTGCAAAATTAAGGTGCTACTAAAATCTAACTTATCAATGTATTAATCAAGAAAGAGAAACAAAATCAGGGCTTAAATCTACAAAATGATACGCTATCTCTTGACCCATTATATGTTAATTTTATATGTGAATTTGAGGCTCGACTCACAACCTTGCTTTAATCGAAAGGCGAAAATATAACATTAACCAAACGTAATCGAAGCGTAGATCGGAGCATAGATAAAACGTAAGAACAGCGTTATGAAAGCGTGAAATGTTAACAGAGAGTTACTTCACTCCTCTGGAAACCGAAAAAGATTAAATTAAAATAGATTGAAAATTTTTATTGTATTTTATTTCATTTGAATCAAAATTCTTGATTCATGCATATGTATGGAAAGGAATTGAATGTAGTAAAATTGAATCATTTTCTATCCATATAGATAGAAAATCTTTGTGCATAGTTGAAATAAAAATGTATAACTTTGTATCTGTGTCACAAATGAAAATAGATTCATAATCCGCGAAATTTTTTTCTATTGAAAAAAATAAGATCACATCTATTATAGGGCCATCCCTGAATTCAAGGTTTTTAAATCTGTTTTGGACTGAAAGAATAGCAATTACGTTATTTTAATACAATGTCAGGGATTAAAACACATTACGTGGTTTATTTTTTTAACGAAACTATTTTTCGCTTGAAAAATATAAGACTCACTTTATTCCAATTTCGTATTATGGACGAAAATGGATTTAAAGCTCTCAAATCTGTATATTGGATTAAAAGAATTACGACATTTCAATTTTATGTCATGGATTAAAATGAATTGCAAAGCTTATTTTTTTCGCAAAACTTTTTTTCGATTAAAAGAAATACAAATTCTGTAGATTCAATTCCACGTTATGGATCAAAATGGATTGCGTGTCATATTTTTTGCGTAAAACTTTTTTTTGATTGGAAGGAATAGGAATCTCGTTGTTTCAATTCCAAATCATGGATTAAAATAGATCAGCTATTTCGATCTTTCAATTTTTAAGTACGGATTCGTAACGAACGCCCCCTAAATCACCAATAAACCTAATTTCACAAAAATCGAACAATCTTTATGATTTCCGTTACTTTTTCGTCCGCCATATTGGATCAACTATTTCGAACTTTCAATTTTTGAGAACGGATTCGTAACAAACACCCTCTAAATCACCAATATACCTAATTTCACCAAAATCGAACAATCTTTTGGATTTACAAACATTGAATAAATTAAAATGGATCATCATCATCATATCTTAAAATTGGCGTGTCACGCTTTTTTGAAGTCTCTTTTCGTTGAGGCTGTTGGAATTCTCTGATTTTGATGTGATTTCGTATTCGAGGATTTTCGGGGTCAATTATTTCGAATCTGTACTCAAAAATTGAAAATTCGAAATAGTGGATCTAATATGGCGGACGTAAAATTAACGTAAATCCAAAAGATTGTTCGATTTTGGTGAAATTAGGTATATTGGTGATTTAGAGGGTGTTTGTTACGAATCCGTTCTCAAAAATTGAAAGTTCGAAATAGTTGATCCAATATGGCGGACGGAAAAGTAACGGAAATCATAAAGATTGTTCGATTTTTGTGAAATTAGGTTTATTGGTGATTTAGGGGGCGTTCGTTACGAATCCGTACTTAAAAATTGAAAGATCGAAATAGCTGATCTAATATAGCGGACGGAAGCGTTACGGAAATTCTAACGATTTTTCAATTTTGGTGAAATTTGGTATATTGGTGATTTAGGGGACGATCGTTACGAATCTTTAGTCAAAAATTGAAAGTTCGAAATAGTTGATCCAATATGGCGGACGGAAATGTTACTGAAATCCTTAAGTCCTTCGATTTTGTTGAAAGGCTCTAGCAGGTTAAGAAGGGGTCAATCGGCCCCCAAACGGATTATGACCAGCATGTCACCAAAAAGTTCGTTGACCCGAAAAAAAAATTTGGAAAAGTTTTTAATTCCGTACACCACCCCTTTTCGGAGATATATATTGCCATATGAAGTATTTTCATATTTTATTTTTGTCACGAGACCTATCAGATACAATTTTATTAAAAAAATTTGGGCATACAAAATGTATCAAAAGGTATTTGAAAATATTTTTTGCGAGATGTTCCAACCTAACCAAAATTTTTAAAAAATTCCTGAAAATTTATAACCCCCTTTTGTTAGTTTATGATTGGCAACCTCGCAAAAATTCAAAAACATGTATTTTTAAACTTGTTTTCACCCTAAATTTTTTCAAAATTTTTTGAACCCGGCATCATGCCTAAAAAAATTAAAACTCGCCTAAAAAGGCAAAAAATCGCCATAAAATATATATCAAGTAGCCATAAAGCCCTAAAAGGCTCATAAGATAGCGTGCAGAATTCGCCATTAGTTTCGTTTAGTTTAGATATTTAGCGAAAATTATCAAGCCTGCTGAATTATTATCCAAATTATTCGATGCCCAGAAAATTGCACCGGTCATCAATGAGGATAGCGACGACGATTAATAATATATACATGAACATATATAAATATATTATGATGATCAAAATAAAGAAATTCCAAAAAGCATTTATAACCTTTAAATATTTCAAAATAGTTCCAATATGAAAAAAATCATATGGTTAAAATTTTCAGAAAAAAATTCGGTTATGGGATGAAATTGTCGTACGATATTTTTTCTGCCTTAAATTCATCAGTCGTCCTCCGATACTCGTAGAAAATACTTATTACTGATGTATTCTAGTGTCTTAAGATTGCAGAACTATTCTAACCACACTTCAATGCCGTCTGAGAGTTTTGCGACTCTCTCAAGACCATTTTATGGCATTTTGAGTATTTTAAGAATGCCCCAAGGATATTTTGTAAATGTTTTAGAGTTTTAAGACTGCTTTAATGCTGAATAGTAATGTTAATCGAATTTTAGGGCTGTCTCAGAATTGTATTAGTGTGTTACGATTGTCTTAACCCTTTGCGTCACGGTGGGACGCTCAGCGTCCCACCTTTTATCCGTTGGTTTTTTCACCTTTAAAAATCAGTTTCTCATGTTTTTTACGTCGTGATTAATTTTCTACATAGCTGAGGCATTTATTTGTCGAATACAAGACATCATACATATTAACATACTATAGTTCATTAATTATAAACAATAATATACCAAAAAATGGCCATTTTTTGAAAAAGAAATCGTTTGTGAAAAATAATCACATACAATTCACTTGAAGAACGCTACTCGGGAGTTTTCGGTGTCGCCGATTGCGAATCTGATGTCAGTTTCTAAAAATTTAAAATGGCGGATCCAATATGGCGGATATGAAAATTGAAAATCTACGAATTCGCTTGAAAAAAGTTACTCGGGGGTTCGCAGGGTTGCTGAATACGAAAATGAAAATAGATTTTGGGATTCAAAACGATTGAATATAAGTGGAAGACGCTTATATATGAATGAAAACTGACATCAGATTTGTAATCTGCGACCCCGAAAACCCCAGAGTAACTCGTTTCAAGCAAATTCATCCATTTTTTAGAAAGTTGTCGGCCATATTGGATCCGCCATTTTAAATTTAAAAAACTGACATCAGATTCGTAATTTGCGACCCCGAGAACCCCCGAGTAACACCTTTCAAGCAAATTCATCCATTTTTTAAAAAGTCGTCCGCCATATTGTATCCGCCATTTTAAATTCCTGAAAAATGATATCAGATTCGTAATCAGCAACCCCAAAAACCCCTGAGTAACGAGTTTCAAGCGAATTCAGTGAATAGAAAAATGCGTGACTGAAAGGTTAAGGCGATATTATGGATGTTTTAGTGTTTTAAGACTTCCATAATATTGCATAATTGTTTTAATCAGAGCGATGAACTATCTTAGGGTTATCTTGCTATCTTACCTGTGTCTGCAGGCTATCTTATGAGCCTTCTCTACGGCTTTATGGCTACTTGATATATATTTTATGGCGATTTTTTGCCTTTTTAGGCGAGTTTTAATTTTTTTAGGCATGATGCCGGGTTCAAAAAATTCTGAAAAAATTCAGGGTGAAAATAAGTTTAAAAATACATGTTTTCGAATTTTTGCGAGGTTGCCAATCATAAACTAACAAAAGGAGATCACTTATAAATTTTCAGGAATTTTTTAAAAATTATGGTCAGGTTGGAAGATCTCGCAAAAAATATTTTCAAATACCTTTTGATACATTTTGTATGCCCAAATTTTTTTAATAAAATTGTATCTGATAGGTCTCGTGACAAAAATAAAATATGAAAATACTTCATAAGGCAATATCTCCGAAAAGGGGTGGTGTATGGAATTAAAAATTTCTCCAAATTTTTTTTTCGGGTCAACGAACTTTTTGGTGACATGCTGGTCATAATCCGTTTGGGGGCCGATTGACCCCTTCTTAACCTGCTAGAGCCTTT